TTCAATGCCAGAACAGGCAGAAAAGTCTGGAGACTCTTATCTGCAATTAACTAGCAAAAAGCCAGAAGTAGAGGTGTGGCTCATGTGGTAGAGTGCTAGTCTTGAGCAAAAAAGCTAAGAGACAGCGCCCAGGCCCTGAGTTTAAGCCCCAGTGCTGGCGCGCACGTGCACACACACACACACACACACACACACACACGTTGGAAATGCAGCTGTGGCTCAAGTGGTAGAGCACTAGCCTCAAGCACAAAAGCTCAAGGATAGCACCCAGGCTCAGAGTTCAAGCCCCTTGACAGGCAAGATAATAATAATAATAATGATAATAGTAACAACAACAACAATCATAAAACAGAAATGGAAATGCAGCACTCCAAACTTTCTCTCTGTAGTTGGCTTATCTCCCTCAAGCTGTCTCAGGGATTTTTAGGCATTTAGAGTTGCCTCTGTCTTGTAACTGCTAGGATTTCAGGCATGTACTGCCATGCCTACCCGACTTCAAGTTTTTGTTTTTAGTTTTTGCCAACCATGGGCCCTGAACTCTGGGCCTGGGCGCTGTCCCTCAGCTCTTCAGCTCAAGGCTAGCCCTCCATCACTTGAGCCACAGTACCGCTTCCCACTTTTTCTGCTTATGTGGTGCTGAGGAATCGAACCCAGGTCCTCATGCATACAGGGCAAGCACTCTACCACTGAGCCACCTTCCTAGCCCCTGTTTTTATTTTTTTAAGATTATTTAGTTTATTTTTGTCTGTTGTGGGGCTTGAACTCAGGGCCTGATTGCTATCCCTGAGCCTCTTTGTGCTCAAGGTTAACACTCTAACAATTGAGCTACATAGCCCCTACCCGACTTCAAGTTTTTATTTTTTATTTTTTTTTTGGGTCCGGTCGTGGGGCTTGAACTCTGGGCCTGGGCATTGTCCCTCAGCTCTTCAGCTCAAGGCGAGCTCTCTACCACTTGAGCTACAGTGCCACTTCCGGTTTTCTGGTGGTTTATTGGAGATAGGAGTCTCACGGTCTCTCCTGCCCGGGCTGGCTTTGAACCGTGATCCTCAGATCTCAGCCTCCTGAGTAGCTAGGATTACAGGCGTGAGCCACCAGCGCCCGGCCGACTTTTCAAGTTTTTAAACCGCTGCATATTCTATGGTATAGATGTACTATCATCTACTTAATAGTCCGTTATTAATGGATATTTGCAGTGCTTATAGGCTTTTTACGATTTTTGTTCCCATCTCACAGCTGGAAGAACTTCTGAGAAGGATATGACTTGTGGACATTCCTAAACATTGGCATCTGTGGGCATTGCTTAGCTACACATTAAGATGTAAAGCTACTAAACCCCAGTATACGGTAAAACACCATCCAGAGACCTGATTTTGTCTCCTGTCCTAATGGTGTCTTACCTACCTCAGTTAATTTCTGCTCACTTTGCCTAATGCCTGATATAGGATTAAATAATCCTTTGTGGAAGAATTTTCAATCTGCCTTTTTTGCAGAGACTATGTTTCCCACCCACCAGCAGCCCTAGCAAGGACAGTACACCTAGGAAGCACCGGGGATTCAGTAGGTGCACAGTAAATATACTTGTTGAATGAATGGATGAAAGAAGGAGGAAGGTACTAGGACTGTGTGCAGTGAAGACAACAGGTTTGAGTCTCAGCTGTGACAAATCCTAGAGTAATAATGTAACTTCTTCATTTTTTTTTGGTCAGTCATAGGGCTTGAACTCTGGGCCTAGGCGCTGTCCCTGAGCTCTTCAGCTCAAGACCTAGTGCTGTGTAACTTTTTTGTTGGTGGTGGTGGTTGTAGGGCTTGAACTCTGAGCCTGGGTGCTGTCCCTGAGCTCTTCAACTCAAGGCTAGTGCTCTACTACTTGAACCACAGCACCACTTCTGGTTTTCTGGTGGTTAATTGGAGATAAAGAGTCTCACAGACAGTGGCACTGTGACTCAAGCGGTAGAGCGCTCGACTTGAGCTGAAAAGCGCAGGGAAAGTGCTCAGGCTCAGAGTTCAAGCTCCATGACCGACAAAAAAGAAACAAATCTATTTGGGCTGGGATGTAGCTCAGTGGCAAAGTGCTTGCCTAGCAAGTGCAACGTCCTGAGTTCGATCCCCAGTACCAAAAAAGAAAAGACAAAAAAAAAAAAAAGAGAGTCTCACAGACTTTTCTGCCCGGGCTGGCTTTGAACCATGATCCTCAGATGTCAGCCTCCTGAGTAGTTAGGATTACAGACATGAGCCACTGGTGCCCGGCATCATGTAACTTCTTCTTCTTCTTCTTCAATAAGTTTTTTATTGTGAAAATAGTGTACAGAGGGGTTACAGTTATATCAGCAAGGTAATGGGTACATTTTTAAATCAAGCTTTGTTGCCTCCTCCTTTGTTTTTTCACATAACTTCTTTAGGCCTCAGTTTCCTTGGCTGTGGAGTATAAACACAGATCCTGTAAGACTGCTTTGAGCTCAAGCCAGTGAATGCAGGCCCTGTGTGTAGCTGGGGGCTGGCTTAGACCATTCTCAAGACCTGAGAAAGCACCCAGGCTGAGGTCACTGGAGCTGGCTGCTGAGAGGAGTATGACTCCAGCTTCTGTGGCCAGGACCAGATCTCTTTACTGACTTCATCCAACTTCAAAATGGAGATGCTGACACCCAGTTTGCATCTCCCTTGGGGAGACAGTCTGGCTTAAAGTCCCTCCAGAGGAAAACACTACATAGTTAAAAGGTGCCACTGTTACTGAGCTAGGAAAGTGCCTTCCCAGGACAAGTGAGCTAATCCCTGCCAAATGAGATTTTTGCCTGGGCTGTGTATAATTGAATATTAGTGTGGATTTAACCCAGGGAGTGAACTATGCTGTCAGAGCCAAGTTTAATGGGGCATTTAATAAATGCAGAGGTAATTAATACCTCCATACCCCGTGCTAGTGCATGGAAGCATTTCAGAGTGATGAGACTCTGGATTTACTGCAGAGTGGACAGGGAGGGGTGAGCCCTGGCCTAGGCCTTTGCTACGGCTGTACCCTCCTCCTATAAGTTGGATTTTTAACTTCTTTTGAGAAGCCTTCCATGATTTCCAAATGCAGAGTCTGATGCTGCTCCTGGGTCTTCATGTCATTGGGCATACACACATAGACACACCAGAGGGAATTTTTCTCTCATTGTGCTCATAGAAGTGCTTTTCAATCCAACAAGTTTACAATAAAGTTTAACCATCACACTTCTATTTTTTGCTTTCATTTTTTTTGGTATGCATATGGTAGTAGGGATTGAACCCAGACCTTCAAATATGCTAAGCAAGTACTCTTAACCATTTGAGCCACACTGTTAGCCATCATACTATCATCCTTCATTTCATCTTAAATGTTACTTCCTCAGAGAGGCCTTCTCTCCTCACCCTTCTCTTCATTGTAAGTCCCATGTTATTTATTCATTTTCTCATAGTTCCTCTTCTTTCTTCTCAATACACCTTATGGTTTATGTTTATCTGTACGATGGGCTGGTGAGGACGGCAGACATGAATCCCTAAGCAGAAAGCAGAAAGTAAGGATCCATCTATCCACTATTGTCACAGTGTCATAGTGTATAATTCACAGTAGAAACTCCATAAGTACTGGTTAAATAAATATGTAGTTTTGTATTTCCAGTACTATTTCAGGTACTGCAAGATTAATGAGTGCTGAATGAATATTTTCTGCTTGTGTCTTCCAAGAGAGAGAGCAAACTCCTTGAAGGTGAGTCAAGTCTCTCCCCACTCCCAATGCTCAGGATGGAATCCAGGACTCATGCAGGTTAGACAAAAGCTGTACAGCAAAGATGCTCCGCCAGCCCAGCTCTTGGTCTTGTTCTTTTCTGAATCGATTCCCTAGCAGCCAACCTTTCCTCCATGGATTAGTTATCTATGCAGCAGGATAAATGACTCTGAAACTTAAGATCTTAAGACTGTAGCATTTATGATTCATAATTTCTGCACAGTTGTTATGACTCTGGTGGGTCAAGAATTTGTGAGAGTGGGCAGGTAATTCTATTTGAGATTTTGGTCAGCTGACCGGAGACTAGAAGATCCACGCTGGGGGTGGCTCATGCCTTTGATTGGCAAGCTGGAGTTGGTTGTGGGATAATTTCCATGGGAGCCTCTCCATCGGGCTGCCATCCTGTCCTAGGAGAGACCAGAGGAGAAGCAAAGAGGAAGCTGCAATGCCTTTGCCCACAGGCTTTACTGGTCAGCTCTCCTCCACGTGGGAGGAACTACAGAGGGCAAGGACATCAGAAGTGCAGAACCAACCCAGCAGCAAAGGCCGGTTACCACACTCTAGCTACCCGCGATCTCCTATTCCCCAACCACTGGTCTGCCCACTCTCAGAGTCTTCTTTGCCTTCCAAACATTTATCAGGATATGTGTTCCTTCTTTCATTGTGTCCTTCCAACAGCATTTCAGCTCCGTGGGCGCAGAGATGCTTGCTGGACTGTTTCTGAGCGAATTGCAGTGATTGCATCCGTGCAAACATGAATTTTTACGTTTCCTTTGTCTCCCCTTGCACTGTTGATTTCTAGCTCAGGGCCAGGCATAGAACTAAGGCTTCTCGGCTGGGAAGGTGGCTCAGTGGTAGAGCGCTTCCCTTGCATGCATGAGGCCCTGGGTTCGATTCCTCAGCACCCCATAAGCAGAAAAAGCCAAAGTGGCGCTGTGGCTCAAGTGGTAGAGCGCTGGCCTTGTGCTGAAGAGCTGAGGGACAGCGCCCAGGCCCAGAATTCAGGCCCCAGGACCAACAACAACAACAACAAAAAAAGAACTAAGGCTTCTAGGAACGTTCGCTGAAATAACCTGAGTGACAAGGGCTTGAGGAAGGGAGGGGCGGAATCCCCGTTCCTCAAGCCTCTCTGTACACAGCGAAACCACAGAATGGGAGACCGACGTCCATCCACGCCTAGGGGCAAGCCATTCATCAAAGCCCTAGCAGCGGGGGCGGAGCCGGGCCCACCAGTTGCTATGGAACGTCACTTCCGGGCGCTGGGGACTACTTCCGGGGGAGCGGCGCGGCGGCCCTGGAGGTGAGCGCTCAGGTGCGGTTAGCAGGCCCGGGCTGTCCCGTGGGGCCGGGCCGGACGTCGGGGTCCTGGCTGTGTTGGTGACCGGTGGGCGAGTAACCTCCTGGGGAGATGTTCGTTGTTGCCGCGGAGAGGTTGAGTTGGCGGCCGGCCGAGGCCTGGCCTGGTGCCCGCGGTGCTTTGAGGCGCGGCCTGGGCCGGAACTTGGGGCCCGCCTTGGTCTCCCCACGTGGAGCCCCCCAGCTCCACCGTCCGGAGTTCGGATCCCGAGTGGGGCCTGCATGGCTGTCGAACCCTTGCGCTCGGTCCCCTTTGCTGTTACTCCGCGGAGGAACGAGACGCTGAGTGGAAAGTGCTTGGGTGCTGTGTGTATTAGTAGTTTAACCGGGGACTGAACCCAGCACTTCATCGGTACTGGTACTAAGCGCCGCCTACTGCCCCTGAGCTTTTTTTTTTTTTTTTGGTGGGTCGTGGGGCCTGAACTCTGGGCCTGGGCGCTGTCCCTCAGCTCTTCAGCTCAAGGCTAGCGCTCTACCCCTTGAGCCACAGCGCCACTTCCGGTTTTCTAGTGGTTTATTAGACATGAGAGTCTCACGGACTTTCCTGCCCAGGCTGGCTTTGAACCGTGATCCTCAGATCTCAGCCTCTTGAGTAGCTAGGGTTACAGGCGTGAGCCACCGGCGCCCGGCTTTGTCCCTGAGCTTTATCTCCAGACCCTTTTCTTTCCTCTGTGCCTCTGCAGCAGTGACTTTCCCAGGCCTTTCCCCGACACCTCGGTGTGCACCCGTATGTTTGAGTTGAGGTTCCATGTAAACTCCATGACAGAGACTGCACGTGAAGCATACTCACTAAATATTTGCCCAGTGAAACACGGTCTTACACTGGAGTTCTTGGCATTAGGCCTTGAGCCCCACAGGGGGGGTCCAATAACTCCATGAAATTATTTGCTGTGTTAGGAATGAGCAAGCACTTTTTATTATTCTGGTAGGGGTGTTGAGTGTTCACTGTTTGAAAGCCTCTGTTGGGATTGGAGGCCGGACTCATTTGGTAGACCGCTAGCCAATGAGCGAAAGCGTTGTTCAGATACCTAGTTCAAGTCCTAGTCTTGGTATTAAAAAAGAAAAGAAAGCTTTTTGCCCACCCTGGGGTCTGCCAGTCACGGGGCTGGAAGCATTGCCCGTGGTATGGGAGAACCTGTTGCCCCGCATAGGCTTCTTCACTTCCAAATAGATATGGTCAGGCCTGGAGTCAACTCAAGATGGACGCAGGATCTCTGCTGTCCATAGATTACAGTGGATCAAGTTTTTTAAAAAAATAGACCAATGTAATACTTCTCAAACAACAAAAAATACTTTTAAAATGTTGATCCAGCCAGGTACTAGTGGGGCCTCCCTGTAATCCTAGTTATTCAAGAGGCTGAGATCTGAGGATCACAGTTTGAAGCCAGCCAGGGCAAGAAAGCCCGTGAGAGACTTATCTCCAATAAACTCAGAAAATGCCAGAAGTGGTGCTGTGGCTCAAGTGGTAGAGCACTAGCCTTGAGCACAAAGAGGCTCAGGGACAGCACCCAGACCCTAACTTTAGTTCAAGCCCTGGGACTGTCAAAAAAAAAAGATCCATTGCAGACACATTTGGATATAGGTGGCTGTAACTAAAAGATTCAGGATGTAATACCTGTTCTTTCTGATGTGATACACTCTAATATGTTCTATTGTCATTTATTAAATGAAATGTAGTCTAATAAAAAGAAAGTGCTGATTACAGCCCCTTTAATGGTTTCCATGGCTCACAAATGTGAGCCTGTGGTTGGAAACCCCCAGTGAAAACCATGGAGGAAGCCCTTTGACTCTTGACTGTCACTTTACTAGGGAATTCTTAGGGAGGTTGAGTATCTCTCCCAGCCTCTTTGCATTCATACTCATTTTCCGGAGTGATTATCTAAGGTGAAAGATGGTGGCTCAAGTTCTGGCATATGACTTGTCTTCCTCTAAGAGATTGAGGCCTGTGGCCAGGAGTGGAGTCTTGGGTTGAGACTTGTTGAAGGGATGTATCACACCTGTGCCATCAGAAAAGGAAAAGCTAAAAGTAACCTACAGCCAGACCAGGAAGTAAAGCACAGAGGTGCTGAGGAAACGAGGAAAGTAGATGAGAGTCTTGAAGTGGACACTGTGTGGAGAGTACTCTGTTAAGAACCTTTGCACAGCCATCTTGTTAACCTGTGCTTCCCAATAGGGCTTTTTCAGCCACGTGGGCCTATAGTTAACTTCCTTAAAGTTTCCTCTGTGACTGCAACTAAGTACTCAAGCCACATATGGCTGGTGGCAACTGTTTAGAGAACACAAGTTGAGAACATAGGATCATTACAGAAAGATCTAGTAGTCTGTACTTGATTCTGCCTTAACAAAAGTCTGGAGAAGAAAGGCGAAGGGGCAGATTTTCCTTCTGAATTATATTGTTTCTATAACACTGCAGAGAATTAAAGTTCAGGATGCCTTCATCTTAACTGCATCTATACACATTTTCCTAAGTCCTCTTGATTTTCAGCTAATAAGTTCAGTGTATATGTGGTCATTATTGCAGTGTTTATATGGTTGTTTACTTTTTTCAATTAGCGTATTGCAAAGTCTTTGCACCAAGACTGATGACCTGGTGTACCTACCATTTTCAGTGCTACTTTAGTGAAGGGGTCATGTGAATTGACTTTTTGGGCTGACATCATTATGGGACCCTGCTTGCTTCCTGTTTTCCAGTATTAAATTTTTTTTTTTCTTTAAATAAAGGCAAGGGGCTGGGAAGGTGGCTCAGTGGTAGAGCGCTTGCCTTGCATGCCTGAGGCCCTGGGTTCTATTCCTCAGCACCACATAAGCAGAAAGAAAAAAGCCGGAAGCAGCGCTGTGGCTTAAGTGGTAGAGCGCTAGCCTTGAGTGAAGAGCTGAGGGACAGCGCCCAGGCCCAGAGTTCAGGCCCCATGACTGGACCCCCCCCAAAAAAATAATAATGGCAAGTTTCTCACTAAAGGATATTATCACGTTTATGGTAATTGTTATATATTGCCTAATTGCTATTTTGAAAAAAGCCTAAATGTGTTAAAGCTTTGATAGAACAGTCAGTGGCTGTTGAGAGCATGGAGTCTGGAAGAGCTCAAGAGCTCAGCCCAGCATGTCGCTACTTGATGATAGGGGGTCAGGCTCTGTGCCTGCCACTTTGTGATGCCCAGGGCTCTCCTGTCACCTCAGGTATTCATAGTAAAGTTGCTTTTGATAACATTAAGTGGGAGTATAGATAAGCTCATTGGCTTATTATAGCCTTGGGCATGAAACTTGGGGCTTAGGGCATCTAACCCTGGGGTGCCACTGAAGCAAGGGTGCTCTCTTAGGCTGTGGCCTGCTTGTGCTCTCTATAAGTGGAAGCTGTTCTGGCAGGCGTCTTGGAATTCATTTCTGAGCCAGTTTAGGACACACTCCAAATAGCCTGCCTGAGTCTGCGCCTTATACCTTGTGTTTGACCAAACATGGTATTAATGAGTGTGAAGTTCCACCTGATTCACCACACTTGGAATTCTGTGATGCTGGGTTCCTTTCAGAATTTAGATCCTTCCTGGGAGGGTGAAAATCTGCCAGCTCTAAGGATTCTGGAAAAACTGGGCCTCAGGCTTTGGAGGCAAGTCTTAGCTTAAGCAGAGGAGTGGCTACTCTGCCGGCCCAGGCACATGACCCATAGCAGTGGGCAGAAGAAAGGGAAACGGTGCACATTTGTGTAAGCTCCACTGTTTATGTAGTAGGTCTTTTTTGTTGTTATTGTTATCTGTCCTTCTTCATGTTGGAAAAACATTACAAAGCAGAGAAGCAGCAGAACCAAGGTGGAGTTAGTTCTCCCAGTCTATTGTGGCCAGAGCTATCCTATAGAAATGTAATATTTGTAAACTTCAAAATTGTTCTAGTAGCCACATTTAAAAAGTAAAAAGAACTAGTGAAGTTGCTTCATTTCATTGGGTTAAAATATGTAAGCCAGGCTAGGCACTCGTGGCTCATGCCTGTAATCCTAGCTACCCAGAAGGCTGAGATCTAAGGATCACAGTTCAAAGCCAGCCTGGGCAGGAATGTTTGTGAGTTTCTTATCTTCACTTAACCACCAGAAAACCGGAAGGGGCACTATAGCTTAAGTGGTAGAGTGCTAGCCTTGAGCTGAAGAGCTCAGGGACAGCTGTCAGGACCAGAGTTCAAGCCCCATGGGAGGGAGGAAGAAAGTAAGCCAGGTACTGGTAGCTAATGTCTATAATCCTATTCTTAGGAGGCTGAGATCCAGAGGACCATGGTTTGAAGACAGCTAGGGCAGAAAAGTCTATAAGACTTCTTCTCCTGGCTGGCTGGTCTCTGGTGGCTCATGCCTTAGATACTCAGGAGGTCTGAGGATAGTGGCTCAAAGCCAGCCTAGGCAGGAAAGTTCATTAGACTCTTACCTCCAGTTAACCACCAGGAAACTGGAAGTGGAGCTGTGACTCAAAAGTAGTAGAGTGCAATGCAAATAAAGACAACCCTGAGATACCACCTTACCCCAGTCAGAATGTCCCACATCCACAAATCAGCCAACGACAAATGCTGGAGGGGATGTGGAGAAAGAGGAACCCTATTACACTGCTGGTAGGAATGTACACTCATACAACCACTTTGGAAAGCAGTCTGGAGGGTCCTTAGAAAGCTAAAGATTGATCTCCCTTACCACCCAGTCATACCACTTCTAGGCATCTACCCTGAACAACAGGAACCAATATACAAGGACACGTGCACCTCCATGTTTATTGCAGCACTGTTCACAATAGCTAGGATATGGAAACAACCCAGATGCCCCACCACAGATGAATGGATCCAAAAACTGTGGTATCTATACACAATGGAATATTATGCAGCCATTAGAAATGACAAAATAATGGCATTTGCAGGGAAATGGATGGAGCTAGAAGGAATCATGTTGAGCAAGGTAAGCCAAGAGCGAAGAGACAAACGGTACATGGTCTCCCTGATAAGTGGATGCTAAATCCAAAATGTTAGGTGATACGACAAAACTAACAGGACTTAAAAAACAAAGAACCCCCACTCATCTGGTCGAACCACTACTAAATATCCCCATGCTGCTGATCGCATGTTTGGTGTATAACATGTGAACACCGTTATATGTTACAGACTGTGATAGACAATTTGCTCCAGGAAAGTTAGAATGAACTTGTGACTTTAAATGAGCATCATTATTCCACAGTACTGTGAAATTCCGGAAATTATGTAATCACTTAATCACAATAAAAAAAAAGGGAGGGGATGGTAGGGGGAAAACAATGGAGGGGGTAATAATGTTCAAGAGGAAGTGTACTCATTACCTTACTCATGTAACTGTAACCCTCTGTAGGGGCCGGTGCCCAGGCCCTGAGTTCAAGCCCCAAGCCCAATTAAAAAAAAATAAAAGAAGACTCAATCTCCAAAATGGCAGAAGAGCTATAGGTGTGGTAGCAGAAGGTGTGAGCATGCAGAAGGCCCTGAGTTCGGGAGTGGGGTAGGAGAATATATATACATCATAAAATTGATCATTTTACTATTTTTAAGTATAAAATTTAGTGACATTAGCAATATTCTGTAACGATTACCATCCTCTTTTCAGAACTTTTTCATCCTTCCCCACAAAAACTTCATACCCATTAAAAACTCAAATACTGCCGGGCGCTGGTGGCTCACGCCTGTAATCCTAGCTACTCAGGAGGCTGAGATCTGAGGATCGCTGTTCAAAGCCAGCCCGGGCAGGAGAGACTGTGAGACTCCTATCTCCAATAAACCACCAGAAAACCGGAAGTGGCGCTGTAGCTCAAGTGGTAGAGCGCTAGCCTTGAGCTGAAAAGCTGAGGGACAGCTCCCAGGCCCAGAGTTCAGGCCCCATGACCGGACCCAAAAAAAAAAAAAAACAACTCAAATACTGGCCACTAGTGGCTCATGCCTGTAATCTTAACTACTCAGGAGGCCAAGATCATGGTTCAAAGCCAGAGGCAGGAAAGTCCATGAGACTGTTGTCTCCAGTAAACTACTCAGAAAATGTCAGAAGTGGCTCCGTGGCTTAAGTGGTAGACTGCTAATCTTGAGAAAAAAAAATCTGAGGGACAGCACCAAGACCCAGTGGTCAGGTCCCAGAACCAGCACCAAAAAAAAAGAAGAAGAGGGAGAGGAGGGGGAGGAAGAACAGGAACTCACCATTCTTTTTTTCTGGCCCCTGGCCACCTGTGGTGTACTTTCTGTCTATGAACTAGTCCATTCTAGAAAGGACATAGAAGTACTGCTCTTTTGCCTTATGTATTTCTGCACCTGTGCGTGTGTGCATATGCAAGCAGGACTGTCTCATGTGCTACTTCTCCTTTGCATGTAGAAACTGGCAGTGGAGAGGTGAATGAGGAGATCTCAGGAGCTGGTGGATTGATTGGGCCATGGCCTCTGACCTGGACTTCTCACCTCCAGAGGTGCCTGAGCCCACTTTCCTGGAGAACTTGCTTCGCTATGGACTCTTCCTTGGGGCCATCTTCCAGCTCATCTGTGTGTTGGCCATCATCGTGCCTGTCCCCAAGTCCTACGAGGTGGTGAGTCCTTCTGTGCCCTCAGCTCCTCTCAGTGCTGGGCTGGCTTGGGTACTAACATAGGTGTTACCACAACCAGGATCAGCAGGGGCCTTACTTGGCCTTACTTATGTAATGTGTTCTTGATTTCCCACATGGTTGGTTGAACTAATGCTAGGTTTGTTCACTCAGCCATTGAGATTTATTTATATGTTTCTTTGCTTATTTATTTTGAGATAGTCTTGCTGTGTCTCTCACACTGGCCTGGAGCTCTGGCTCCTCCTGCCTCAGCCTCCCAGGTGCTAGTGTTCTGTCAAGATTTTATAGGGCCTGATCCATGTCAGATTGCTGGAAGATGTGTCTTCTGTCTTCAAGAAGCCCTTTCCCTTGCAGGGAAGTCACATATAAAATCAATATTCACCAGATCAGCAACTGCGTAGCAAGTGTGACACCCTGAGTTCAAACCAAACCAAAACAGAATACTCACGTTTACTCCCATAAGAAGTACAAGGTAGCACTGGTGGCTCATGCCTGTAATCCTAGCTACTCAGGAGGCTGAGATCTGAGAATCATGGTTCAAAGCCAGCTTTGTCAGGAAAGTCCATGAGACTTATCTCCAGTTAATCACCAGGAAATCAGAAGTAGAGCTGTGGCTCAAAGTGGAAGAGTGCTAGCCTTGAGCAAAAGAGCTCAGGGACAGCCCTCAGGCCTTGAGTTCAAGCCCCACAACTGACACACACACACAAAAATAGAAGTACAAGGTACAAAGCTGGGTGCCAGTGTCTCATGCCTCTAATCCTAGCTACTTAGGAGGCTGAGATCTGAGGATCTAGGTTTGAAGCCATCTTGAGCAGGAAAGTTGATGCGATTTTTATTTCCAGTTAATCACATAATGCAAGCCAGAAATGGGAGTTGTGGTTCAAGTGGTAGAGCACTAGCTTTCAGTATAAAAGCTCAAGGACAGCACCTAGGCCCTGAGTTCGAGCCCTAGGAGTGGCACACACAAAAAAGTACAAGGTATGGATATATAAATGAGGGACCTGCTCATGCCTTGGGGCAGTGACTGGGCTACCCCTGCAGCTGAGGAGACAGTGTCAGAGCTAAAAGGGCAAGAATGAACAGGCTCCCCAAGGCCAACCTTATTTTCTATTATTGTTGTTGATTGTAGGGCTTGAACTCATGGCCTAGGTACTTTTTCTGAACTCTTTCTCAAGGCTAGTGCTCTACCACTTTGAGCTACAACTCCACTTGAGTAGTTAATTGAAGGTTTCATGCCCAGGCTAGCTTTGAACCAAGATTCTCAGGTCTTAGCCTCTTGAGTAGCTAGGATTGACAGGTGTGAGCCACTAGTGCCTGGCCCAAGGTGAATCTTTTGTACCCTCCTTCTACTCCCTCTTCTCTCCCTCCCTCCTCTTTTCTCTTGACATTGGTTTATAAGAGAAAGCAATAAATATCCACACCCGGATTAGGCTGATTGCTTCTCAGTGGGGTCAGTTTGAGTGTTTCTGTTCCCAAGTGACTTACCCACAGGAAGTCCTATCTAGAGGCCTGAGTCCATTTACATTAGGTCATATAGTGTGAACACTCACAGCTGGTGCTGTGTCTTTGCTGTTGCTGTCTGCGTGCACTGAGTACTTGACCACCACAGCTTTAGAGATTGTCATAGCTTCAGGTGGTAGCAGACCCTTCATTATAAAAATCTCTCACCTAAGTGGCTTTAGCATCATTGAGGCAATATGTTCTGACTTGGCCAGAATTATTCAGTAAAGACCTTTTTCCTTGTCTCCTGCATGTTGTTCAATTCTTTTTGAAATGTAGGGTAAATGCTTGTTTTTTTTTTCCCTTGATCAATTTTCAGAGCAGGGAGGTTGAGCCCTGGCAATCTCTAGTATTGCCCAGTGAAGCTTTGGTTTGCCACTCTTGTGGTCTTTGATAGCTTGCTTGTATGCTTCCTGGGCTCATGTACATTTCCTGCTTGGAATCAGTCATTTCTCTAAAAAGCTCAGCTTCTTTTAGTATTCATTAAATACTATTCTAGAAAATAGCAGGGACCACAGTTGGAACTCTAGAAGTGATCAAAAGAATGGAGCTGTGATCTTGCAGCAGTGACCAGAGATAGCAATTAATTTTTAAAGATGAAGAATTGGAATTCATACTGATATTTTTAGTGCATGGTTAAGGTTATGGTAGTTTTATTATATGATTTTATACTACTATCTTATCTCTTTGTATGTAGGCAATCTCATTTGCTAATAACATTAAGAAAATTATTTCTTTGCTATATATTGCTGTTATCAGAGGTCCCCAAGAGCACTCTTAGATTCAGTGATTTATTAGGATTTATAGCTATGATGAAATTGGAGATATCTCACCACAGTGAAAGGATAGTAAGCAAAATATCAGTAGAGGGAAAAGGCATGTGGGGCAAAGATTGGAGGAAGGCCGTACAGCCCTCAGAGTGCTGCCCCTTGAAGAGTCAGGCTGGGTGTATTTCATTTCTTGGTAAGGAGTCATGGCAAGTGGCACAATGTTGTATAGCTAAGAAGCTTTTAGAGACTCAGTGCCCAGGGTTTTCACTGGGGACAGGTCCCATAAGCACTGTCTGCCTACCACATACCCAAATTCCAGACTTCCACAAAACAAGCAGGTGTTTGGCATAAACCATATTGTTTGCTCAGATGGTTGAGACACAGTGAGCCCCTCTTATCAGTTCAGGAAACTGTGGGAACCGTGTGAAATCCAAATTCCCAGATGCTAGCCAAGGGTCAACCATACAAGAGCAGGCCTTGGTAAGGGTATCAGTGTGTCTTTGTGCTGACTTGCTTCTGCACATCTCTAATATACTGGTTATAGTTTTAAAGTAACTATGTCATGTTTTAGTCCTGACTCACTGAAACTTGAGATTCTTCATGATTCTTTTTGGCAATAGTGCAGTACAAGGTACTGTGCTAGGTGATCCCCCCTCATCTGTTCCTCCCCCACAAAGGGAACCATTTTTATTATGTGGTTTATCTTTTTTTGTTGTTCTTGTTAGTTGTGGGACTTGAACTCTGGGCCTGTCCCTGAGCTCTTCAACTCAAGGCAAGTGCTCCACCACTTGAACTACAGCACACTTCCAGTTTTCTGGTGGTTAATTGGAGATAAGAATCTCATGGGCTTTCCTGCTCAGACTGGCTTTGAACTGTGATCCTTATATCTCAGCCTCCTGAGTAGCTATGATTATAGGTGTGAGCCACTGGTGCCTGGCTATCTTTTGATTTCTTTTTTTTTCTTTTTTTTTGTGGGGGGGGTCCAGTCGTGGGGCCTGAACTCTGGGCCAGGGTGCTGTCCTTCAGCTCTTCAGCTCAACACTAGTGCTCTACCACTTGAGTCAGAGAGCCACTTCCGGCTTTTTTGGTGCTGAGGAATCGAACCCAGGGCCTCAGGCATGCAAGGCAAGCGCTCTATCACTGAGCTACCTTCCCAGCCCCTATCTTTTGATTTCTTTGATTTTTTTTTTTTTTTTCAGTGCTGGGATTCTAACCCATGGCCTTATGCATGCTAGGCAAGTGCTCTACCACTGAACTATACTCCTGGCCTGCTTGATTTTTTTTTTTAAACAAGCAAATGCATGTGTGTGTGTTCTGTGTATATTCATATTCATTCATATTCTACCCTTTGATATATAAAAGATAGCATGCCCCTAAACATAGTTTCGCACCTTTCTCTTTTTTCTTAGCTATATATGCTATCCAGTGTACTCTGGAGACCCGTATATCTTGGGGATCACTGTGTCACAGAGATCCTACTTGTTTGGCAGAGTGAGGGAGCAGGAGTGGGGTAGGGTGGGGAAGCTGCCAGCTCTGTCACATTGGCAGGGGGATTTGCAGGTCTGCAGCAGGCAGTGTTGAGCAGCATTTGGGAGAGAAGCCAAGGAGAGAACATGGAATGAGCAGAGAGCCTGGGATGGAGCCTTGAGGAGGCTAGCATTTAAGGGACAAGCAGAGGGCAAGGAAGTGAAGGTAGTGGGCATGGCCCTAGTCTCGTATTTTGAGAAAGAGTTCCATCACTAGAGTTCTTCCTCCATGGTGGTAACGTAGTCCCCGTGTTCTCGGGTTCTGTCGTCACCTACATGCCACACTGTTGGCTATTGAAATAAAAGCATTTTCATGGTCACTGGACACGGTGAAGCAGCTCTAGTCCTGAGTTCTGAGTTCTGAGGAGGTGACGACTGTTCTTGTTTTATGTGCAGGGGTACAGTCAGGTAACCACTATTCTTGTTTTATGAGCAGGGGTAGACTCAGGAATCCTCTTACTTCTGTTCTTAACCCTTTGAGGTAAGTGGCTAAGGCCTGGGTCAGTCCCACAAACTTTCAGGAAAGGGACCTTTACTGGTTTTTTTTGTGGGGGGGGAGGGGGGCTAGTCCTGAGCTTGAACTCAGAGCCTAGGAGCTATCCCTGAGCTTCTTTATGCTCAAAGCTAGTGCTCTACCACTTGAGCCACAGCACCACTTTTGGCTTTCTGAGTAGTCTATTGGAAGTTTTCTGCCCGGGCTGGCTTTACACTGTGATCCTCAGATCTCAGCCTCCTGAGTAGCTGACTTTGAGGATTTTAGAGACCCAGTAGGTTAGGGTCTTTGGAGAGATGGAGCTGATAAAGAGCTTGAAAATCTACTCTTCTCTCTTCTACCGACTGCCATTGACAAGTTAATTTGGGTTGACAGTCTCATCATTTAAAATATAAATATAAAACATCTCATTTTTGTTTATTTTGTAGTTTCAGGATATAGGGTTCCTACAAGGGGGCTGTCTTCATAACTGAAGCTTATCTGCTTTAGCTTTTTAAAAAGACTTTTCAAGGTTGGGAAGGTACTCAGTGGAAGAGTGCTTGCCTCACATGCATGAGGCCCTGGGTTTGATTCCTCAGCACCACATAAACAGAAAAAACTGTAAGTGGCACTGTAGCTCAAGTGGTAGAGCACTAGCCTTGAGCTGAAAAGCTAAGGGACAGTGCCCCGGCCCTGAGTTCAGGCCCCACGACCAAC